AGAACTAAACTATTATTTTTATGTAAGATGAAAGAAAATACATGTACGAGAAACAAAATTTATCAATAAATAAAAGTTTTTATTTTAAAATATTGAATATTTTTTGATGTTCGTATTATCGGATTAACTTGTACTAACTAGAGTCACCAAATATATATATGCCCAATATACTTGTAGGGAAAGGTTAGGTCCCGTTACGGTACCATTCCATCGAGGTTTCTAACTGTTAGATCATCATATAACAGTCAGAGATAGTTGATCTAACGGTTACAAACTCGACGAAATGGTTCCGTAACGGGACCATAACATCTTCCAATTTTGTATGCGTTAAATGGTTCCGGTTCTTGGGTTTTATGCTTTTGTTCATCACTTTTATTTTGAGTGTTTTTTTTAACTCAAAACCGGTTATAATAGATTATATTTCTTGGAATTCTGTTGGAATATCACTTACGAGTTGTTTCACATTGATTTTATAGGAAAAATGAGTCTAGTATATAAGTCTACTCTCTTCCAATCTTCAATAGGTTTTGAGATAGAAGCTCATTAAGGTGCACTTAGTCTCACCATCTTATGTTGCGCTTCACCTGGTGGGATCACACTCTCTTTCCCCGGTTCTAATATTGTATCAGAGTGGGCTTGTTCTAGGACCTCCAATGACTCTCTCTACCCAGTCTGCTCTATAAGCTATTGCTTATTCTATATTATCTGAGCAGCTTGGGCTTACGAAGGATTCACAAGTAATAGGAGGCATGTTGAAATATCACTTGTGAGTTGTCACACATTGATTTTAAATAGAAAATGAGCTAGTATATAAGCCTACTGGGTTACACCCTTATCATCAATTATTTTGAGATAAAATTTCACTAAGATGTACCAAGGCTCACGTCCCACTTCACCTGGTGGGACTGCACTTTCTCCTTCCGGTTTTAATGAATTCAATTACCCTAAAAACAGTCCTCTCCGATTTCAGCAAAATTTAATAGACAAAAGAAACATATTTTATTTGTTCTGATTTGGTTCCTAAAAATAAATGATAAGAATTGAACTTGTCCTAGGCCTAAACGTGTATTCAACAATACCCTTTACATATTTTTATACATCTTATAGAGCATTTAGTATTAATCCACTTCAAGAAATTGATGAAATTCCAACGAAAATTATTTTAATAGAATTATTCCAGCGGCAATTCCAACGGATATTTCCGTTGTAATTTTTCAATGGATTCCAACAGAAACTCCAACAAAAATATTCCGTTGGAATGGGTTTTCTAACGGAATTTCCGTTGGATTTTGATGTTCTCAACGGTGGATTTTCTAACAGGGGTGGAAATAATAATTTCAACGGAAATTGTATATTCCAACGGAAATTCCTACGGTAAAAAGTCGTTGGAATCATCAAATTCCATCTAAAATTACAATGAAAAACATTCCAACAGAATATTTCCGTTAGAATTTTTGTTGGAACTATTCCAACGAAAACTATACCACTAGAATATCCGTTGGAATTTCCATTGGAATATAGTACCATATATAGGATTTTCCGTTGAAATATAACATTTTTTTTTGTAGTGATCACTGCAACAAAATAATATTAATTACTACAAGAAAATAATTAAATTTTGACGGAAATATATTTTAGTTGAGTTACAAAGGCAATTCCGGCGAATTTTTTAATTTTATAACTTCCATTGAAAGGTATCTCACCAATTCAAACAAATATTGTAATGAAAAAAAAAAAAAAAATTGTTGGAATGAATTTTCTATTAGATTTTGACGATTCTATTTGTAGATTTTTAAAAGAATTTTATATTTTAACACAAAATTGTATGACAATAAACCGTTGAGAAAGTGGGTGTTCGAATCATTCAATTCCAACTAAAATTAAAAAAAAAAAAAATTCCTACAGAATACCTTAATGTTGATTTTCGTTAAAATATATGTTGAAAAATTCCAATGAAAGCTTCACCATTTAAATATTTGTTCGAATTGTCATGAGACGGTTGGATTTTCCGTTGGAGTGTGGTAGTCCATTTTTGTAATGGACATTAGTTTGTTTTGTAAATAATAGTATACTACAATGAGTGCTAATTAAAAAAAAAAGTTATAATGAAACTATTAATAAAAATATAAGAGAAATTTTTTTAATTAACATTTCAAATAACTTTTAAAAAATTACATTATTCTTTATTTTATTGAAGTTGAAAAAAATAAATAGTTACAACTTATAATAAAGAACTAAGTAAATTTAAGATATTATTTTAAATTCTTAAAACTAATTTTTTTATTACATCATCAATTCCATATAATATTTTTATTCAAAACACAAAAGAGAATGATATGGATGGAACACAAAATTTGAAAAGTGGATAATATACATAAAGAAGAAAATAAATAGATTAATATGTAATGATTTAAATATATTAAATATGTATATTTATGACAATCCAAATCTAAATTACTTAGCATAAACAATTATAATATGTTGGTGAGGGACATACTACAAACATAATATTTTGGCATATAAGATTTCAAATAATTCTAAACGACCACTTACACTCAACAAATTCGAAAATATAAGTCTTGTTTAGCTATTAGTCGATATTAGATACCGAATAATTGATTGTACTAGTTAGCGGATTATAACGGATGTAACAGTGGATTTGATTAACGTATTTTATTATTTTTTTTGTGATTATTGTAAAACTATTTTGAATATTATATGTTGACATGTTATTCTATAAATCCGATCTATTTACTAAAGTTGTCTATATTTTGAGTTCTTCTTCCTTTTTTTTTATTTTTTTTTTTTAGAAATTAGCATTTTGATCTTAGAAATTTAATCGAGTAAATTTTTTTTACCAAACGAGACTAACTATTGGATTTTACATGTCGAACATCTAAATAAATTTCGATCCGTAAATTTTACACCAATCCACTAACAGTCAAACATGAATATTAATCCATTGCGTTCTAAACTATCAGTGCTACTATCGTGCACCCTGCCACATCTAGCAAGGTGTGCCAAGACTTTTTTAAAATGAACATGTTACTTTATAAAATAAATATGTATAAAACACATGTTTATTTTAAAAAGTAACATGTTCATTTTAAAAAAACCTTGATACACCTTGCTAGGTGTGCTAGGACGCACCTAAATATTCGCGCTAAACTATACATATAATTTAAAGATATTGACATATATTAAGGGGCGATTGTATATGAATTGTACAGTAAAAAATTCAATCAAAACTCAAATTTAACTCAACTTTAACTCAACTCCACTATTTCCAATATTATTAATATAATTAATTATTATCAACCAATCATTCTTACACTTCACATCAACTTTAATTCACTATTCATCCACTCACATAATTTCAACTAACCATCACTTCCAATCACTTTCTCATACTTTTATATCAAATCAACTTTAATTATTTTATTTTAAATATTATTTTAATATATCTACTAACAACTAACAATACCACCTTTTTTCAAACTTAACTATAGTTAAGAGAAAACTAGTTTTTAACTAGTTGAATCCATATCCAATCACGCCCTAAGTGTTACGATGCTATGAAAATCTCCATATTATATCTTGACAAGTCATTTCATAAAACAAGAGACTTGTGAGTAAAGGGAAAAAAAAATAGTAGTCAAACTTGAGATCTACTAATGATGCATGGCACTTATTGATGACCTATACTCCCAACTAGAAACTACCAGGCTTGGTCGCACACCATTTAATGAGCCCAAAGCTTTGCAGCCTTGAAGGTAGTGCCCAGCATCCATCATTTCCTATTAATAATAAGACAATGCCAAATAAAAACAAAATAATAATTATAAAATAAAACAAATATTAACTCAGTAGTAGACATGGCCGGCTCTGACATGGCCGGGACCCCACACCGGAATCAGCCCGGACGACGGGTCTTGGAAGCGAACTCGTTATTAGAATATTCACTTGTGAGTCCAACATCATTTATATAGAAAAAATAATCAAAATTCTTATAGGTCTAATGAGTTATTTCTCTTTTTCACCAATTGGTTTTGCGATGGAACCTCACTTGAGTTTTATCTGGACTTTCCATGTCTTTGTGCTTCAATCTAAGTGGGACTGCACTCGTTTTTCCCCCCGTTTCTTACACCCGTGATAAAACTGGGCCGATTCCAGGTCTTATTTTTCCTTTTTTAAGCCGCCAGTTCAAGGTCGGTTCAGGACTGGACGAGGGGTAATAGTTGTTTTTATTTTTTAAATCTGGCGGTTCAATAAATCGGTCGCGTCGGACCGGTTCATTTGAATTGACCCTTAAATATAGCCGGGCCGGTTCCGGGCCCAATATTTGAGGCCCCCAACCCGCCGGGCTGGGCCGGTCCAGGGCCGGTTTCTGGACGTGTCTAATCATCAAGTCTCCAAAACAAGTCTAACCGCGTCAGTACAGGCCCCATACAGTTGCATCAATTTAATGTTGACTACAGAGAAATTGAATTGCCAATGTCTGGAGGATAGCATAACTGGCCATTTAAAAAATTTATTTCGCTTTTTGTAATAATTGAAACAATAAATTCTATATGATAAATATATACACATTTTTATTTGTATGGATCATATAATGTGTTTGTAAGGAAGAAACTACGTATGAATATTACTAACCACATGAGGTTCTTGTAATTCGCCATATTTGGTAGAATTATAATTCATTTTTCCGAATGATTTAAGGTCGACACTATTAATACTATTGGACATAACCTTTTGCATCTTCATCATCATTATTATTGCAATTAAACGACATATACAGCATATTTGATTCTTTACTTGTCAAAATTATAAAACATAATCTAAAATTGATTTTAATTTACTCAATCATCAACAATCCTCAGGTTCTTTGTGGTGTCAAATAGCATAGCGTGCGCCTATGCAGCCGTCTCACTACTCCTTAAGCTCGCAAATAGAAGTGGAAAAAATGGCATGGACATGATGTTCGTTTTGGTCGACCTAATCATGGTGGCTCTACTGTTTGCGAGCGTTGGAGCTGCCCTTGCCATTGGCCTTATGGGATATGAAGGCAATTCGCACGTGCAGTGGAAAAAGGTGTGTCACGTGTTCGATACGTATTGCGATCAGGTTGGGGTCGCTATCGGTCTCTCATGTGGGGCCTCGTTGGCGTATTTCGTGTTGGTGGTGCTTGCAGTCCTTAAGAGACGCTAAAAGAAAGAGCTAACTTGGTTGCTTTTGCATTTTGTAATCAATAATACGTGGAAATAATGAACGCTCTCTAGTTACTGTATTATCAATGTGGTGATTCTAAAATGTGTTCGAATTATGTTGTGGGAAGGCGACTTCTTAATTTGTGGTTTGTTCGGGTTTAGTTATGTTAGAAACTTGGATAGGTTTCTGATATGGTCCACGATAAAAACTCCGACTATTCAAAGGGTTCCTCCTATTCGAAGTGTGGATTGGCTTATTCGGTCCAGTCCGAGCGTGCAAGTTCGCCGGTACCTGCAAAGCGCCGGAATAGCTCCGGCGCAAAACCCTCCGACGCCCAAGTCAATATCTTGAAGATGAAGAACAATAATGTGTATTAAATGTAATAGTAATGGAATTAATGAAGTCTTACTTAATAAATGCCGAGTTCAACAGATATATAGTATTTAACTGTACGGACCCATCGACCAAGTGATTAGCACCAGATCACTCAAGGGTTGAATCCCAACCTTTCGAGGCGATCAACTCTAGGTCGAGCCCTTCCGGCCAATCAACTCTCGGTCGAGCTGTTTTGCAAATTTTTTGTGGACAAAGGATAATCGAGTTACCCGACTCGGGTCATTCTCAAAAGGAAGGCACTTCGGAGCTTTATTTACTACTCTTTTGTTCAAATCACAAAAAGAGAAAATAAAATCCTAAACATGCTAATCAATTGGTTTGAGATTGGATTTAACACTAAGAGAGCAATTAACTAAGGGAAATATCAATCACGAGCAAATAACGAAGCTAGACCATCGGAGTCTCATGTTATCAACACAACGAGATGGTAATCAACGACAAAAAGGAATAAACGAGCTATGAGCACTAGATAATTAACCCTAGCCTTCTATCCCTAAGTAATTAAGTCCTAATCGGGTCTTAACCCTTAACCAAGATCGACAAGCAATTAATCCCTATAACTACTCAAGCAAGCATCCCAAGCAATCAAGTCCCGATTTTCCCTCCATCATCAATCAAACTCAAACTTACCCTAATAAACATTATAGGTAAAAACGAGACAAAAATCGAAGTAAAGAGCTTTAAATCTAAATATCCATTCTTCTATTGCGTAGACGATGAAAAACAGAGTCAAAAGCTCGAAACTTTAAAGAAACGAAAGTCGCCGGAAAACCTCTCGGAAAATAACATAAGCTCCTTAGTCTAGAGAGCAAACTTAAAACATAACATAAGATCCTAAAAAGGAAAAATGAAATAATGAGTGGTGGTTCTCCAAAATGCAAAGGAAGAAAAATATTTATACTCCCACTCAAAACACACACTAGAAAAATGCACACTTAATGAGACACTCTCGACGTCTTCGAGAAATTCGCGAGCTCGCGGGCAACAAACAACACGGGCGTGGAAGGCGCGGCACTCTCGAGCTCGCCGGGGCATCCGCGAGTGCGCGAGTGTGGGCGGGGCGAGCAGGCATTGACAAGAGCGTGCGAGGGCTCGCGGGCATGCGGGTGCGCTGGCACTCTCGATCCCGCCACTCTTTCCGCGAGGGCGCGAGCTTCTAGATGGGGCCCCACGCGTCCGCGTGGTCGCGGGCAAGGGGACGATCTCGCGAGTGTGGATGTCCGGGGCATGGGAGTGTGCAGGCGCGCGCGGTCGCGGGGCACGGTGCGTGCTCGCGAGTAAGCGGGGCAGGGATCGCTCGGCGTGGCTAGGACACGACATAATCGATTGAGAATGGTTCGTATGAAATGACTCGGCACTTCTTGGAATTTTGGAACTCGGCTCGTCTCGCCTCATTCATTCTCAGAACAAACCTGAAAATATACCAAAAGCACGAAAAAGTACGCCAAAATATAAAATGCACAAAAATGCACAGAAAACGATAAAATGAATCGGTCGACACTAAAACAAACCTAAAACGGACTCGATAACACACATAAACACATAAAAATAAGCACAAAAACATAACAAACAACTCCCCCATACTTAACTCTTTGTTTGTCCTCAAGCAAACAAAATAACAAGTAGCTCGAAAATAATCATCGAAAATTCCAAATTAACGAGCATGCGAAATGAAACTCTCATTATCATCCAGTTATTCCTAAAATCAAAATCCAATCCGAGACACGGTCCCCACATAGTGAATCCATACGAAACAAAAGCTCGTCCCAAGTTATTCCACACAAGATTACTCGAGTCAAACCCCTCATTTAGATATACGTGCAAAAACTATAAATGGTCTACAAAACATGAAACGATAAGCACGAGACCAATAAGCCAACTCCCTAATTTTCTTCGTTTTCTCTTTTTTTTTTTATTTTTTTTTTATTATTATTTTTTTTAAATGAGCTACTTTTTCCAAATGAGAACCGTTAGGAAGATTATTACCTAGGTTTAACCTCGGGGTTTGTCCCCGAGTCTCCTAGGTCGGTTTCCCGTGCTCATTGACCCGATTTATCTAGAAGACTAACCGAGCCAAGAGGAGTCTAATCCTTTCAACTCCCACGAACTCATTTCCGTGAGCTTCTTTATCCAAACGAGATTTCCGGACGAGATGATCTAGATTTAACCTCGAGGGGTTTTCTCGAGTTTCCTAAACTGGTTTCCCGGGCTCATTATCTCAATCCACGAAGTGGCTCGGAATAAGAGGAGCTTAATCCGTACTTCCTCGCGAACTCACATTTTATTCCTTGTTTTTATGGGAGTGGCACACAAGGATACATCAATTACAATATCATCACAACTCAATCGGACGTACCACAAGTGCATAGATAACACGTTTACAGTGATATCGAACATAAGGGGAACATGTCTCAAGATAACCAATTGAGAACATACAAGGGACAACAATTCCGTGAATCCACATGCGGGTTCCAAAGTCAATGAACTATCAATCAATTTTAGGACATTGTCCAATTCATCGAGTACAGAAGGCATGAACGTTAACAATGAAAATCAACAATCTTGCCTCACCACTTAGCTATTTCAACTATCGAACAAACACTAAATTTCATGCAGGAGGGGAGACGCAAACACACAAAAACTCAACAAAACCGGTCCAAGACACGACAAAAACAAAAAATAAAGCACCAAAAACGAAGCAAATATCACCCAAACATGCATAATCACGAAAATCCCTCCCGTGGACTTAAAACAAAGCAATGTCCTCATTGCTTGACCAAAAAGCATAGGACAAAGCACATAATCATGTAAGATGAAAATGAAAAATGAAACACAAGAAACTAAGAAACGAAAAGAAAATAACACGAAGACACACAAAAAGCAAAGAAAGAAATAGAAAATAAGAAAAGAAAATGCATACTCTACACGGTGGTGCACCATTGTGTGTCCAATAGTACTTGTCCGGAGGAAATAGAGAAAATAAACCGAAAGCCATGGAGCTCAAAGTGAAGCCATCTGAACGGTATAGCATTGAACACATGAAACGAGAGAGGCCATACGTGTGTGTCTCGGAGAGATGGTAACCATGCATGCATAAACTCGACATAGACACACGTACACGTGAAAGCGCAAAATATTGGGCCTCAAGGTCCTCCACGATGCTTGCCATGGCATGACACAACCAACTCCGTTTTGATGCGACGCGAGAACCGATTACCCGCGCTTGCCGTAAGTAGGAACCTACAAACTCAAAAATCCGACAACAACACAAAATTTGGCACGTCCGGCAAGACGTACCTAGAACACAAGTAGAACTCCACTAACCCATAACGACTACTCCGACAAGAGTAGTGATCCAAGCACAACGAAAATAATGAAAACGCGGTGAAAAATCAAGCTATTGTACCTTGGAAATGTCGAGAAAATGGTTACCGAAGTTCGTAAATAGAGAAATATAAGGAAGTGGGAACTCTGGTAGCCAGAAAA